ATGCTACAAAGTGCTGAAGAAAACTGAATGAATCATAATTGCGACAGAGAAGAATTTTGATCGCCCCTCCTCCATTTTTAGATGTTTTGAGGATTTGTGCAAAGAAAAATGCAAAAATAAACCTTCGACAATTTTCATTTTTAGTGTTCATGAAGTTGCATTAATCTAAACAAAACTCAAAAGATTTAGTGCCAACCTCCTAGAAAGTTCCTTCTAATCATAAAACTGTTCTCTTTGTTACAGTTTGAGTGTTCTATTTTAAGTGTTGTGTCCGTATTTGTTGAAGGACTTGCCAAGTAGGAGAGTGGTGCAGAGATGGAGTTTCAAAGAGGAATGAAGTTATCAAGTAAGGAGCATTGTGTCTGTACTGGCTGGTTCTGTCCTCCCTTGTATGTGTGGAAAGTTTAAAGCTCAACATATGTGAATCTTCCCTGCAGTTGCCCATGACCTAAAGCCATGGCTCATGTCGCTGAACGGTAAGTAGAGCATAGTTTACCTGTATTTAAATCTCAGCTCTGCCATTTGTAGTTATGTGGCCTTGGGCAATTCACTGTACCTCCAGGTCTCTATCTCCTCCTCCACAAAATGTTAAAATAGTGAAGTAACACAGTGACAGCATCTTGCATTACATTCATAATAAGGGAGAACTTGTTCTTCATGGATTTAACAAACTACAACAATTATTTTGATTTAACTTTAGGGTCTAGCATTCAAGTGATATTGTTGCTAGTGGCCTGTTGCAAATTAAACTGAACATTCACCAGCAACATTTTCAACTAATGAGTCAAAGAATCCCTTAAGAGAAATGATTTGAAGAGGTATAAACACTGGTCTTTAATGTATAGTGTATAGTGTGTATCTTGATGATAAAGATGGGATCTTCATTCACTTACATAGAAGTAGTTTTTGAATACATAATGTGTGCCAGGCACTGCAGTAGGTATAGAAACATAAGGCTGAATAATATTTATGCAGTCCCTGCAGCATGGAGTCTACCAATCTGAAGGTAGAGGTAGCCAATATAAAAGGAAATGCGTTAGAAAAATAATTCCAGCTGGGAAAGCTACGTAACGCTGATATTGTGGCAGAAAACAGTAAGATAGGGGTGCACTTTAGGAAGGATGGTTAGCAAGGTCTCCAGGAGAAGGAGGTGACATAAAATCTGAGATCAAAAGGATGACGAAGAGCCAGACATTTGACCAGCCAGGGAAAGAATCAGCAGCTCATAAATTCAGAAGCCTTGGGGGTACGTAGGACCAATCGTGTATCATTAAGTTCTGGACTTCTTTCACGCCAACTGGCTGGAGCGCGCTCTTTCTAATTTGCCAATTGTCCTGACTCAACTTTCATTATGGGGAGGGTTCTAGGTTGGGGTCCTAGATTTGCCTGTTAGATCTATCAACTAAAAATATACTGGGGCAGCCTTCTATTTTGCATACATCTGCTACAGGCTGTATCTCGAGCACTGTGACTTAGCCATTCAATCAGCACTGCCCTTGACATTTATATCACTGTGATTTCTTTGTGTACATTTTTGCTTCAGGTAACTGCTGATGTGAGATAGATATTCAACAATTATTTGCTAAATATTTAATGAATTTCATGAGAGCATCAGAGAGCAAGTTTTTTTGATTTGTTGTTTGTGGCTTTATTTGCTTACTTTAATATATGTAGAGAGAAAAAACTGGATGGCATTTAAAGGAAAATGCTATTTTGTGCTTGAAATTCAGCTACTGCAAACGACTTTTGGCTCTGCCAGTCATTAACAAAGTGACCTTCGACAAGCATCCTATTTGGGTCCAATATTCTCAAGCACAAATACAGATTTGTGTTTAAATGTCCTGCAATGTCTGTTCTTTGCCATGAGTCCATGAATTATCAATATTTACCATTCCTTCCAAACTGCTATAAAAGACATGTTGTCATCAGGCATTAATTTCACGCAATAGTGATGATTCATATTTAATAGGACTTTGCCATTTCCAAAGTACCTTCATTTTCAGTATCTTATGTCATTTTCATGATCAAATAAAGTTTTAAAAACAGATATAAATTTAAAAATCTGAGAAGACATGAAACTTGGACCAAGTCACAAAATAATGGAAAAGGGAATGATATTTTCATTTTCTTTACTTAAAAAAATTATGGTTTTGACAACACTGATATTTGTTTATTTATTTTAGACAGGGTCTCACTATGTAGTGCAGAACTTGCTGATGAACTCACTTATGTAGCTCTGGCTGGCTTCAAACTCTGGCTGGCTTTGATCCTCCTGCCTCATCCTCCCGAATGTTGGGATTGCAAGCCTGTGCCAACACACATGGCTACAATGTAGACAAAGCACTTTTGTCCTTGTTGTTAAACTCTTCAGTTGAAAGGACTAGAAATATATTTAGTTTACCTAAGTGAATGGAGAGGAACATTGCAGGAATTAGCTATCATATGTACGAGCCAGGAAATGCAGTCTTTATAGTACCTGGGAAAATATCTCTAGGCATTTTTTTCTAGGAGTTCATTGTTAGTAGACTTTTCTCTCAGAACTTCCAAGTCTTTTTCTCTTACCTAAAGAGCAGTTTTCTCTGCCTACGCATGCGTCTTGCTTCCCTATACCCAGTGCTCTAACATGACTTATCTCCTGGCACCAGCTCTGGCCAGCCAACTCATAAAACATGTCCACTCCATCACTCACCAGAGTATTGTCTATCTCTTCCTCTTTTCATTCCTGTGGTCCAATCTGTTTGGGCTGAGGCAAGGAGACATGTAGTACCCATATCAAGTTCTATAATGTTGCCCCCAACCAAATGCCTATGTTGATGCCCTAATCCCCAAAGTCGTGGTATTAGGAGATGAAATCTTTGGGAGAAAACTAAGTTTTAAGAAAGCAATGAGGATGAAGCCCTAATCCTAGGATTTGTAGTTTTATAAGAGGAAGAGAGAGCAGTGTTCTTTATTAGTCATATGAAAGTACTGTGAGAAGGTAGCCATTCACAATTCAGAGGGAGCCCTAACAAGAACCTGACCCTGTACAGCACCCTGACAGTGGACTTTGCAGATTCCCAAACTGTGAAAAATAAGTGCCTGCTGTTTACGTCACTTAGTATATTTTATTACAGCAGATCACACTAACACAAACATCTGTGTCAGGATTTACAGACAGGTTCTTAAGAAAGGAGGTGTGTAGTTAGAGCAAACACTTCCAGACAAACTTACTAAACTTTTTATTTAATCTCTAAGTTTTACAGAATTCTCTTGAAACTCCCTTTCTTATGTATCTCCAATCTTCAAAAGTATAATTAGAAAGTATCTTATCATCTGGCAGTTCAGGATAAAACAAAAATGAAAACATCACTTTTGTTCCTTAATTTAAAACAGGTAAAGTAGTTGCATGGCGTTCGGATTGTAAGGTTAAAAAAAAAAAATACAAGACTACTAAAAGAATCATAAAAAGCTAAAAGCTAAAAAGGATTTTATTAGAATCAATAATCTCAAGTCTGCATTTTATAGGAAAAACCATTGACGTTAAGCCTTAGGTCACGAAGATGATTAGAGTCCATGGATTATTCCTCCGAAGTCAAAGTTTGCATTCTTTTTATTATAACATTTTAGTAGAGCCCATTGAAAGACAATCTGAGAACTAGATGCTTGGGACATACATCATAAAGTTGGGTCTAAATGTAAAATAAGGACATGAAATGTGGATAAATGACAAAAATCTTTACAATGCATACTCGGATAAAGAACGCACAAACACTAATTCTTGTTCCTGAAAAACTTATATATAAACGGGTATTTAAAAAATTGATCAGAACTTTCTTAATGCTACAAATTTGAGTCAGAAAATAGATTAGGATGTTCCAACTGACAGATGTCATAGGAATTTACTTCAATGCAGTGTGATCACAGATTGTCTTTCAAAGGTGAACTCCATAGTTGTGTGATTTAGGCAAGTTTTTGTCACTTAATAAACTTCTCCCCTTGGTCAAGTCATGTAATCTTTACCAGCTTCTGTTCCCTTCTATCTAGTAACAAATACTACATAGGATTGAAAGTCATTGTGAAACTCTTAGAACATGATGTGCCGCACAAATGATGTGCAACCTACCATTATTATAACGGCTAGAGATATCAGCTTCTGCTGAAGAATTAGGAATGAAGAGAGGGTATTTCTTTAGTAATAGCTTCTCCTTTACCCATATCTGCTATAAAATTTTGAAAATTTGCATTGCTATTTGCACTCCACAGACCAGGAAACAGGCAGCAGATAACAACTGCTTGTCCAGAACTGGAAGTTGAGTCAATCATGGCTTATGGCACAAACTTCATTTGAGTCCATATCGCACTACGTGAAGGTCGTCTTCAAGAGAAGACTTCCCGGACTGATAAAGTGTTCGCACCTTCAGGGTCCATGAATAGAATGAAAAGAGGGCAGGAGTAGCAGAAAAAGGAGCAGGACCCACAGCCCTCTTCCAACCCAGAAGCCACAAGTTGTCTGATTGGCCTTTTCCCTGCCAGCCCAAGCTTCGCTGAAAAAGCAGGACCACACTGCGGGGAACCGGCTCAGGTTTGTTCTGGCAAGGCCTGCATGGCTTCTTTGGAGCCTCTCTGCGGGTGACCCCGGAGTGGGGGTGGCAACTGACTCCCCTGCGGAAGTCTGTTAAGAGTTGAATTCGTGAATTCAAGAAACTATACTTTTTGCTTCCAAGATCAGGGGCGCCCAAGGAACGCGAACAAGTGGGAGCACGCAGGAAGCCACGGCCTTCGGTCAACCTTAGCCTCACGTCCCCTCTCAGGGCCGCCCAACGCGCCACGCCAACCCCTGCTCTAGCCCCCGCCTCCGTTCCTGGAGGAGGCGTGACCGACGCGTGCCGCCATCTTGTTCGTCTCTCTAGGCGCTCTGTTTACTACTCTATGGTCGCCCGCTCCCGCCCCGCCCCTCCCCAGTCATTGTCTGGAGGAGCAGCCGCGGCCGCAGCGCCTTCTCTTTATAAACCTGCAGTGCCCGGATGTGAATGGATTACAATGTATCTTTCAGGGAAACCTATTATTATCAATGTGACTCCACGGGGGAGTCAATGGTGATGATGATGATGAGGAGGAGGATGATGATGAGACACCTCTAAACTTGGAACAAGTTTAAGACTTTATAAGAGGAGAAGAAAAAAAAACCAACCAACAAGATTTGTTTGAGGAACAATTATAACTATCCTGTGTTGATATTTTTTATAAACAATAAGAAAAAGTTGTTGGATTTTTTTAATGATTTCTTTTTTGGGGGAGGGAATTTTGTTGCAGTTTTATGGTGGAAAATGCAAAAACCAGACCCATGTGCATAATCTTGTAATCTGTGGATCTCCCTGGCGCAGGACTGAGTACCACTTTAAATACTTTTTTGGGGGATACATATTATGAGATATTAAGTACTTGCAGAAGATTTTTTTTGTCTCTTTTTAAAGTCTCTTTCCTTGGAATATTGTGAGAATATTTGTGGCCATTTAAGGTAACGTTATAATTTGCTGTAAGAGTAAACTGTTTGTAATTGAATTGATTTTATTTTTTTTAAATGTCGATCCCGATGTTTTATTAAAACAAAAGGAACAGCCTATTAAATAATTGCCACTGGGTAAAAGTGTGTGCATGCATTTTGTGTATGTACTCGCACATCTAGCAGTACAGTACTTGGGTTGCAGAATGTGTTTAACACACATTGAAATAGCGTATGTTGCATATATTGGGTAAAGCACGCTTGTTATTACGAAAAGATAGAATTACGAAGCTTAATTTTTATCCTAAAAAATGTTGTGAAAAAGTATGTTTTAAGAACATGCAGGGCCTACAATAGTAAATGTTGAATAAAAAACTTAAAAGAGTACTGGCTAACGCGCAGTTAGAGTGCATGGGAGCTGAAGTGTAAAAACAAAACAACGTCCACCCCCCAAAATTGCCTTTTTTTTTTTTTTTTTAGCGAAGTTTAGAGCTATACTCTTCTTTGACTTAAAAGGAGGGGGAAGAAAGTATGCAATTCGGATTTCATCCTCCACGCAAAACTACCCAAAACGCAAATTTCCCCAGCAAAATGTGGCTTAGTTTATGTATGGAAAAGAAAAACATTATTCCTCTTGGCAAAGTCTTTTTGCATCACGTGTATTTGCAGCCTAGTATAAACTTGCTTTGCCGTGTGTGGATGTGTGAGAGGAACGCGAGTAAGAAAGAAGTGAGAGGGGTTGTAAACTCGAATCAATTTCAAAGTGCCTCGGATGGATGAAACGGGCAAAAAACTGAACTGTTCGGGCTTCAGATTGTAACTGACGATCTGAGAGGGGAAAATGAGGTGCTCGATGAATTTTCGTTCGCATTATAATAATAATTATATATATATATATATTTGCAAGGCGGGGGAGGCGTTGAGGTTTTTCTTCTCCTGGGGGGGAATGGGGGGCAGGATGCATCCCAGCAGCCCGACCCGGAGGGAGCCTGGTCTGCCCGCCGGAGCCCCCCCACCCATTTCTTTGCTGAACTTGCAATTCCGTGCGCCTCGGCGAGCTCCCCCTCCCCCCTTCCCTCGTCCCCTCCCCTCCCCGGAGAAGAGAGTTGGTGTTAAGAGTCAGGGATCTTGGCTGTGTGTCTGCGGAGCTGGAGTGACGGCGGCGGCGGCCGGGAAGCAGCGGGCGCGGGCGCGGGCGCCGGAGGAGGAGGAGGAGGAGGAGGAGGAGGAGGAGGAGGAGGAGGAGGAGGAGGTGGAGGAGGAGGAGGAGGAGGTGGTGGTGGCGGTGGAAGCAGTGGTTAGACATGAACGCCGCCTGGGCGCCGGCGGTGCACCGGGAGCCCCTTCTCGCGCGCGGGCGGTAGGTACCGGCGCCGGCGGCCCGGCGGGCGGATGCGCAGCGCAGCGCCGCGCGGGTCGGGCTGGAGCTCGGCGGCCCCGCACGCGGCCCCGCGCCTCCCGCCCCGGCCGGCTGGGCGCTCGCTCGCTCGCTCGCTCGCAGACGGAGACACCCTGTCCCCTCCCGCGCCTCTTCCCTCCCCTGCGCCCCCCCGCCCCTCCCCAGCAGTGCCCACTCGGAGGGACCGAGGACTTTGCCAAGGGCCTGACTTTAATTTTTACAACCCTTTCTTTTACAAATTAGGGTGCTGGACCATTCCAGGACCGAGCTCCAACTCCGCGCCCCCTCCCTCCGCAGCCCGTGTCACCCCTCCCCCCTTGGACGTGTTTGCACTCCAGAGACGCTCATCTTTAATTTCTTTATAGCGACTTTGAAATGCAGAGGGGAGTGGTGTGTGAATGTGTGAGTGTGAGTGAGTGTGTGTGTGTGTGTGTGGTGTGTGAGGGGGTGGAGGGTGGGGTGGGGGGAAAGTTGAGACCGGATCGTTCTGAGTAGTTTCTCTTTTTCTCTGTGATCCATTCATTTCTCGCTCTACCTCCTGTTGCATAAAATGATGCGCTGAAGAGCGGCTCCCCCCCTTCCGGATTTGGTTTTATAGTGGATGTAACCAGTTTGATCGTCTCTTTGGAAATACAATACTACCCCCCAGTTTTGGTTTTTTTTTTTTTTTTTTTTTTTTTTTTTTTTTTTTTGCTATTGCTGCTATTCCATTTTAAAAACAAAACAAAACAAAACCCAACAAAAACTCTCCCATCCCTCCCTCCTTTCCACCTTAATCCCACCCGCTCCCACATCCCCACCCCCAACCCCCCCAGTCTCCAAAAATCCGATTGTGTTTTCTCCAAGGATTGGGGCTGGATTTTCTGATTGCGGTTATTTCCATGTTTCTAGGTTTGTGTGATTTTGCTAAAATGCATCACCAACAGCGAATGGCTGCCTTAGGGACGGACAAAGAGCTGAGTGATTTACTGGATTTCAGTGCGGTAAGAAAGAACGGTGGAAACTAACAACAGCTGTGAAAAAAACCAAAAAAACCCCCAAAAAACAGAAACCCCAAACACTTCTGCTAGAAACCAATAGTAATCGAAAGGACAGGAGTGAATTTTAATTGGCCCAGACCTTGGTAAATATGAAGGTCTTTTTGACAAGTTTTAAACTCGTTTTGGGGTGTGATGGAAGATTCAGGCTTTTTTTTCAGAGTCTAATTACTTGCCTTGAATTCTTAACCCACTAGTTACCCACTATAATGGAAACTCACCCCTGTGGAAAGGAAAAAACAGACCCCTAAAACTGTAAGTCACCCCTAAAACTTGGCCATGTCTGAACATAAGAGTACTAATACTTGGCATACTCTGCTTCATCTTATTTATTGTTTGCTGGAAATGAAAATAGAAAATAGGAGGCCCAGTTGTGTCTCTAAAGTTTCACACTGATGATGCTGTGAACTGACAGGACCTGTAATCCTCCTCCTTACCTCTTTTCCTGGGTTTCTGAAAACTCCTCTCTGTATGCTGAGCATACATTTTTTAGAACCCTTTGGACTATTTTTGTAAATTTCGTAGTCCTGAGATCAGCACAAAGAGGAACTTAACACTTGTGGAGTTTTACGGCTGTAATCAGTCCTTCTCCATCCCCTCCGCTTCCATTTCATACACCAAGTTCCAAACATGTCAGAGAGTGGATTCATTTTTAATGTCAGATGAGTTGGGTATAAGATGCATTTGTAAAGCAAAATATTGAGAATCCAGAAAACACACAAATAAAATCCACACTGCCTAAGTGGGCTCTTTCATGCTGCTGCTGCCGCCACCGCTGCCGCCACCGCTGCTCCTCTTCTAGATCTCCTTTTGGAGAAATGGCTTTCGGAAGTTTTGCCAGGAAACGTAGCTGTAGGCAGCTTTGCAGCCTCTTTTCTGCTTGCTGCACTTTCTCCATTCGTTCCTTTGCTTTTTGCAGGCTCTGACTCAGGGAAGGTGTGCAATATCCACTAGATACGTGGAAAGAGGGAAACCAATTAGGGTCGAAATAAATGCTGGAGAGAGAGGGAGTGAAAGAGTGAGAGTGAGAGAGACAGAGAGAGAGAAAGAGAGAGAGTCTTGCTTCCAGTTGCTCTCATGCTAGAGACGAAATGAGAATTTAGTGCAGGTGGCACTTTTTGTTTTATTTGGGTTCACATATGACAGGCAAATCCAAACGGGATGGAAATGGACATTGCCACACTTATGGCCAAGGTTTTCAATATAATACAAACAACTTTTTTCTTCTCCTTTGTCAAACTAGTGTTTACTAGAAAGGCTGTTGCCCTCCAACCTGAATCTTGATAACTCTGTGGGGACTCTGTTTGTGCAGAATCTAGTAATAACTGCTTGGCAATCTCAGGCACCCGAGGAAAAAGAAAGAGCTCTAGTGATGGGGGCTGGGGGGTTGTAATGTGCCTGTTTTAGTTTTAAGTTGGATGGTGATGTATTTTACTATATAAACCCTTAGCAGAAACTCTCAGTTATTTGGTAAGAGTGTGAAAATGCTTTGATGAACTCTGAAGGCACAAGTGTCTTCTTTTCAACTGTAATATTTCTTTGTTTCTTTTAGATGTTTTCACCTCCTGTGAGCAGTGGGAAAAATGGACCAACTTCTTTGGCGAGTGGACATTTTACTGGCTCAAGTATGTAAATTCTTTTTTATTTAGTGTTAAATATTCTTGCCTGTTTATTTGCTCGTTCAGTGTTTTTGTCTCTGTTGGAAGTGTTACGAAAAATGTCACTGAATTTTAGACTAGGATGATATGGTGATCTTAGTGTCCATCAGCAGTGTAACTTGCACAAATGGTTATCTTTTGCAATTAAAAATAGACTTTTTTTAAACTGAGAAAACAGTCTCAAAATTCCATCACTTAATATAAGTCATTTTCTAACAGTTATAATCACACATGTGAAGATAAGACCAGTGTTGACATAGGAAATGAATTAATGTTCCTATTTGAAAATACAGAGGAAAAAAGTCTTAACTTGCATCAAAAGAGGGAATCTCTTGAATATAATATCAGTTATTAGTTACTTTGTACAATTAACCCTTTTTAAAAAAATAAGTGCTTAATTTTGGAGATGAATGCTGTGTAGGAAACTATTGTTGTAAATAGCCTTTTGCTAGTCTGAGAAGCTAAATACAAATTCATTTATGTTTAAAATTTCCTTTTTGATCCTTTAGCTGTTCCTTTTTACTCATTTACTTGTGTGATGAATTTTTTGCTATATTTAAAGTTGCAAATTTGGAAGGACTTTAATGTTTTGTAAATGAAAGATCTTTAGGTGATGTTTAAAAAAGGACCTGAGCGGTGTTCACAAAGGAGTCTGTGTATACAATGATTATTTGGCATCTAAGGAAGAGTTTTTAGTACAGGACTGTTGGAGTGTCTCTTATTGAAAGTGAAGGCTGAAAATATGATATTCATTTAAACCATTTTAGTTTGATGTTGTTCAATTAATTTTAAATAAAGAGGCATACATCCTTGCCTGCTATCCTTTAGGTGCAAGACTTACTCCATTTATGCCTGTTAAACAGCTGTGGTATTTTAGGAGTTCTTGCAGTAGTATAAAACAAACAGTACATTAGGCAGAATACTATTCTTCAGTCAGACTGGTAAATGTTGACATCTTTTAGCTGTGAGATGCCACTAGAATTATCTATCAACTATCAATATAAATTCACATCTTTTAGTTCTTATGTGGTATTATAGCTATGAAAGAAATCTGTTCACCTCAACGATTTGTATAATTGGTACATTTTAATAAAATTGATGGCTTTTAAAAGTTGCTCATTTCTAAGTAAGTTACTTTTATTGGTCCCCAGTAGTCTAAGCAATTTTTCTCTCAATACCTTGATTGAGAAAATATGAGATGCCTCCTGTCCTTATATTTTGGCACTTTTGGGGCTCCACATTGATTAAAAGTATTATTGCCTGTGTGTTTGGGCTTTACTTTCCTGGACCCTGGTTATAGTTTTCCATTAGGAACTTAACTTTTTGTTGTTTTATTAATAGTATATCTTTTCCATTTCTATCTGGAATTCTTTGTATAACTCTTATGACAGGGAATAGTGTGACTGTTTCAAGGAAAGATAGGTATAAGTGTTCTTATAGGCAAATTAGCTTTCCATGTTAGACCCTATCAGAACAGTAGCTATCTCTGATGGTAATTTTCTTCATGTTTTACTTAACAAATGTGCATTCAGTTTAAATCTGAAAATAGAAGTCAGGGAGGCTCAGAGATTGACTGCTTTCAAAGTCAGTGTAAAATATTTATTTGCACTATTATAAAAATGAAAATGTTTGAAATAACTAAAATGTGTTACTTTAGATATGATTTCATAAATTAATGGAAGTTAAATATATGAAATGTTAAACTGAAAAAAGACAACTGTATTTCTGGCCTATTTTCTCTGTTCACATTTAAAGTCCTTGCTATCATATTTAAGTGAGTGTTCAGTTGAATATATGTTAATACATTTTGGTAAGTAATCATATCAAAATTTACACAGTTTTTAAGACCTTAAAAAAATATATATATATATATATCTATCTATCCATGTATGCATAAACCTAGAGAAACTTCTTTCTTACTGGGCCATGTTATGATGTTTCTAATGAATATGCAGGGATTATTTTTAAAACGTTGAACTTTATTCCACTGGTGTGGTTTTTAGGACCAGATGCTTACTTGTAAGGGGGTAGAAAGTGTAGTGGCTGCTTTATTTTTGTCAGTCTGGTTGAAAATGCAGGATGCTCATTCAGTGGAGTATGATGTTGACTATAATGTATAGGACACAGATTGGACTGTTAGTTTTTCCGATCTATGAAGACATATCAGAACACAGTTCTAGTAGTGAAGAAAGTAGCTTATATTTTTACTCAATAAAAAACATAAATCTCTTCTAAAGCATAACAGATTAAAGCAGTCATGAAATCTGTGCTTAGTCCTTTAACTAGAAGAATGAAGTAGGAAACTTTGGGTAGAAAAATCATTCTTGAAAGTTACTTCAAGTTAATATCTATTGTCCTGAGTGGACTTAGATGTCACTTTTCATGGGTTGCTTTGAAACTTGGATCCCAGAGAAAAAGATCTGAACTATAAGTAAACTCTTCTTCCTATTTGAAAAATCAGCTGTATTTTTTTCTAGTGAGGCATAGTAATATTTTATGCTTGAAGTTCCCAATAGCTTTTGATTCCATTTTAATGCATGATGCTTCATCATGATTTGCAACGTGAGAATGAAAATAAAGTGTAGCCATATTCTCTTTAATCTTTGATTTCACAAACATGGTTTTTCCTACCACTTTAAGAAATGGTGAGGCTGCTAGAAGAATGGAATGTAACCTGAGCTACAGCCTGACATTCCCAGGGAGCATTTTTCACATGAAAGGCTTTTGTCAACCCAGGAAAGGACCAGCAGTTTTTGTTTGATGTTTGCAGGTGTTCAGCAGAAAGCAGTAAAACAATTCAGCCATGATGGTCCAGAGCCTCAGTGACAACACAGAATTGGTGGGCTCTGGAATTATTTTTAAGAAATAGTTATAACCTATATGATAATTTATACAAAGGGATTTAATATCCGTTGCATCATTGATCTTAAACTAAAAGCATCCAGATGCCTGGACTGGAAAAATTTTTCTCATTAAAAAGTTGAATGATAAAGTTCCTCAAAAGAAAAAAAAAGTGTTCCTTAAGGGACTATAATTTTTGCTGCATGGAGGCTTCATTTTCTAATATAATGTATATATATATATATATATATATAAATAACTTATTTGGTTATTTTTGAACCTTGTAATCGAAAGATGAGCATATTGGTGTTGGTGTCTTTTTAAAAATACTTTTAAAGTTGGATCATTAAAATTAGGTACAGTAAAGAACTTGTTGGATCAGCCCTAATCACATCGGGTACATGTACTTACAGTTAGTCGGTGATGGGCCCTACATCTTCCTGTCTTAGTTTAAGTTGAGCTTTCTTTCCTACAACTAGTTAGTTTTACTTAGGTGTTCAGCAGTTGTTAAAAATTGCCAAACAAATGCTATTTGAACAATTAAGAGGAGAGCAGTCAAACACACCAATATCTCTCTTGTGGGTCATTTTTGGAAGATGGAAACACTTCTTGGCATCCGTATAGATTAGTTAACCTGTATCTTCACGAATTAATTTCATTTTGTGTAAGTTTTTGAGTTCATGGTGATGCTGTGATCTCCCCTTGAAGGTACCTACTTGTCCAGGGTAGCTATTCACTACCATGTGTGTGCGTGTATGTGTGATGTTAGAAGAATCTTCCTATTGTAATGCAGCTCACAATGGTTGCGCAACTTTTTATAAAAAGCACAGTATTTAATAGATTTTGAAAAAGGGCAGTGATATCAAGGCCACTATGTTAGAATCAAGAATTTGGTGTCTGGAAATCCTCTAGAAATGTCCAGCTCAGTGCCTCAGTGCATAGCCAAAGAAACCGGAAGCCCAAGTTAGGATGCTTCTAAGTGATGCCTTTGTTATAGTAAGAAAATAAGTTGGTTTATTAATATTCTGAGGGCTTGCAAGTCTTTTATTGGGAAATCACATTGTTTTCACCACTATTTTTCTGTCATTTTGCTGGGTAATAGCTATTAAAACTTGTGTGCTGCTATTTGTGCCTGTAAGTGGTTCTCTATGTGCATGTGCCCTTTTAATGCTCTTTTCTGAAGTTTGGATCATCAGTTCTTCTCTCTTACTTAGTCTCCCTTGTGCCAGGTGGCAAGATGTTGGGTGGAATGATACAGTGTGAGCAAGCATGGTAGTGACAGAATTAAAGTATCTTAATGTACCAGGTGATATTCTCTGCACAGTGTATATATTCTATTTTTAATCCTCAAGAACTCTCTACAGTGCAGAAATTATCATGCCCACTTCTTGGATGAGGAGACTGAGATCAGAGAAGTTAAACAAGTTGCTCTCAAGGCAGCCAGTAATGAAATTAGGTTTTAACCTAGGCCCTGCCTAACCTGTAGTCATTAATTCTTTTCATTCACACAAACACACACATGTATACATGTACACTCACCCTGTGTACTTGTACGATACTTTTAGTTTTCATGAATATATAACTATAGAATATAAGATTGAGGCTTGACATGAAATGCTATCTCTGATCTTGCCTTAATACCCAAATAAACTTACTTTTCTAATATGATGAGCATCAGTGTGACTAAGTGTATCGTTTTCATATTTCTTTTTAAATTTTATTTATTTTGTGCTTTTTTTTCCCAAGGTAATATCTTGCTTTGTAGTTTAGTCTGACTTTGAACTGATTATGTAGTCCAGGCTGGTCTCAAACCTGCTGTGAGCGTCCTGCCTCAGCCTTCTAAGTGCTGGGATTATGTGTGTCCTACCATGCCTGTTATCATTCTTAAAAAAGAAATATAGTAGATGATCTTTTAAGTTCTTGTGCTCTAACTATACTGTAAATTGACAGTCTGGTGGCCTCAGTTAAGGGTGCCATAAAATATGTTATTTTCAATTATTTCTATAGGTAACCAAATCTGAAGTTGAAGTAACCCAATTCTGACCTATTGTATCTAAAATAAGGGTCTTCTATCTTAAGTATAAAACATATGCAGTTCATTGTTAGGTCTTTGAAACTGATTATTC